TAATCTATTATATGCCAATATGTCTTTTACAAACGAGCATGCCGACCATTCACGCAGAGAGTTAAGACTTATTTTTTTGAAACTTCCAGAGTAAAACAGGTGTATGGAGTTGAGATACGTTGAAGAGGTTAGAAAATTTTGAATTGATATACATGTATGTACGGAGTAGCATATAAACAACTAATAACATGTACGTATAAGACTAGTACTGTGAACTCATGTGTTGATGTAAAATATAACTTAAATTTTGAATTGATCTTGCTGGTTATATTTTCCGCCTGAGACTGAGTCATGAGAAAATATTTTCCTGGAATCAACTGTTTAATTCTTCCACATGTAAAACATGTTTATATTAAAATTAACATATGCACTTGATAGCCAGTTTGTTTGTTTGTATATTCAATATAGTCTAAGCGTGCAGTAAACTTTGAGCTCGTTGACAAGTTTTATCTTTATCATATCTTGTTTACAAAGTTACACAGCAATGTGCTATTAAAAGATGTCTAAGCGTGCAGTAAACTTTGAGCTCGTTGACAAGTTTTATCTTTATCATATCTTGTTTACAAAGTTACACAGCAATGTGCTATTACAAGATGTTCTTAGAAAATGATTGAAAACAGTTTAAATATGTTTATTGATATAAAATATATATATAGCTTTAATTTGATGATTGATTTACTGTTTATAATTTATAAAGAATACTTCTGTACGGTAGGTAATCTACAAAAAAATCATGTTTACTCATTCGTTATTTTTTCCTGATATTTTCACTCGTATTTTTATTCACATCTGTTCTTTTATGTTACGTATTCATTCATTTAAACTCAATAAACTATTTAATTAAGTGAGTTCATATTTCTCGTCATCTTATCTTTTTTAGCACTTTCCCGATAATTATACACAAAGTAACAACATCAAGTAAACACCAAAACAATACCGCAAAACTGAGAAACCGTCGTTTTTACTCATTGAACCTCTTTTTCATATTTTGGATTACTAACAAAGCAAATTCATTTCACATAAACTGCAATTAAACACATTCAAAGACATTTGCATTCCGAATAAATTAAACAAGACGTCAGTTTTAACGTTTAGTCCGTCAGACAGCAACTGACGAGTTGCCATACGATCTAATATGCTGGATGGTCGGGTGCGCAGTAGATTGCGCACTTGCTTGTCAAAAAGACATCCGGACCGGGTTCGATTCCATCATTAGACGTGAAAAGGTATAAGGTAACCTAATGCTAGTTTTGGTATTTTTAGTTTCTCTAAACGCTCCGTATAGGATAAGTCTTTTAGGCCAGGTACCTATTTTATTGCTCCATGTTGAACATTTCCTATTGTTTCAATGTGTTTATCGTAATGAGGACGCAAGATCTGATTCTCATATTCAAAGTGTGGTCTAACTAAACAAATAGCAACCTATATAGCTAAAAGTCTCTATTGATTCATATATTCCATTGTTCTTCGTGGAACTCCCATAATGGGTGTACACTAACACACATCCAGAATAGCCTCCAAAACACAGCGACAGATATAATCATAATGGATTTATAAAAACCTGTAATAAAACCACCTGCAAACTGCTGCAATACAAACCCAAATACTACGGGATAACAAGGAACACTATGCCAAGCCAACTTGACATTTATTCAAGGAGCAATGTGGATTCCGAATTTCATTAAACTATATGAGATATTTGATATATAATTTTAGATATCTTGTATAGAGATTAAATGAGATGCTATATAAGATATCTCATTTTATTTATATATAAAAGACATATTACATAGTCTATAATTAGATAAATTATATATTATATAAGATATCTCATATATATTGTATAACATATATCATATATCATATAAGATATATCATTTGCTATATAAGATATCTCATATTGTTTGTTTTATGAAATTCGGGATCAACATTGCTCCTTGAATCCATAGAACATTCACATGAATAACAAAAGACGGATGCTAATTTGGGCTTTCTGGTGACTATCACCGATAAGTTTGATTTTACCGTCGAGATATGACACGAAATTAAGGTCAGATTGAAGACGTTTCCGAAAAACCTAATCATGGAATACAAAATATCGAAAAACTAGCACATTGTTGAGTTGATAAGTAGTGACATTGTTATATATTGGGTGCATCATGTCAACAATTCACACTATATTCTGCCTAAATACACATTATAACTATACACTAATATTACCAAATTGTATTTATGGTATCGTAACCAAAATTGCTATAAACGTTTTTGTCAATAAAGCCAGACAAAGACTATTATTTCTGTTCGTACATGCAACAGTAGTTCGGTCAATTTGGATTTCCAACGTTTTTGGCCCCAACCATCACCGATAAGTCCTAGAAGACGAAACATCTGTTCTAAAGGTCCAATCACCTGTGTCGGTGTGGTTGCGTGTGAATTGTGTCTACCAGTGTTTCATCAAGTCCAGAACAACCTATCAATGCAATGATATTTAATTAAAATACAGATATGCACACAAAAGTATTACATTCTTCGCGTCAAGATTGTATCAATTTTAGTTTTACATTTGCCGTAAATTGGTCCTTTTTTAGAACTATAAAAGCGCTGGTTATGAATCGTTCTGTATACATTGTAACATCTCAGTTCCATATAGAAATATGAAAAACCCAAAATGAAATCCAATAGATTGGTTGCCGTGTAGAAAATGTTCGGGCTTCTACCTTTCTTCAGTCTTAAAGGGGAATATATGCCTCAGTTATTGTTTCAAGACAAACGAAATTTCAGGGGTTACGCTCACTTTCGCTAATGCAGAGAGCGAAAGTGAGCGTAAGCTCTGGATGATCAATCTGTAAACATGTGACGTCGCCATAATGCTAACATTTACTATGTCACGGTAGTGTTACTGTTAGTATTATTTGTACGCTAATGAGCGATATCGGTGGTTGGTCCCAAGGTTTCAAGATTTATTTTACACTTACGCCACACGTATTCCGTCTTTGCGAGTTATCTTCTCTTGGGAGCAGGTATTGATTGTTTCGTCACTTGTTTGTGAGAGTAACGTCATCAATTTTTGATAAAACGACGTAATTCCCAAGAGAAGATAACTCTGCAATACGCAAAGACGGAATACGTGCGTAACAATAGGTCAAATATTACATAGTACATGTACACATTGATGAACATAGTACACACATTTTACGACATATGATACAATATATATAACAACATATTTAAATAATTATTGCATATAACCTTAATTTAGATATTAAGTAGCTTCATTACTTTTTGTATAAATCTACTTACTTTTGTTACATTTAAAAGTACCGACTACCGTGTTTAAAACATATTGAGAACAAATGACAAATACTACACTAATCACTGACTTCCGTGTACGTTACTCGGTCGACGCTTTACTTACTACGTGGAATTTATAACAGATGGGCAGTATTTGTATGTCCGTACGTCATTATATCTATATAAAATCATGTAATCAATGATTCGACCTTGTACATTCTTATACGTGATTATTAAACCATCATTCCAGAATCAGACAGAATATTCCTGGAAGTTGCGCTGACTTGTAAATAGATTAAAGTCTGCTGAGCGTATTGATTTGTTATCGCTGTGTTACACAGCCTTAGCATTATATAGCGACACGCATACGGAAAAACCATTTCTACTTTCGATTTCAGTATATTTAACAGGAACACTTTGTTCTATAGCTTCAGTTCCCGTTATCCAGACAAAACTCGACGAAGAAATCATAATTTGATTCTCGAATTTTCATCTTCAAAAAAATATGGATTTTAACTGGACTATTGGTTTGGAGAATTTAACTGTAACCATAGTTATTTTCTTACTTATCTTGCTGGTCATTCGGTCATTACAAAGTCCGTCCAATATCCCGCCCGGTCCAACTGGCTATCCAGTGCTAGGATGCATTCCTTTGATGCGGAAGGGGAACGTACTCGAGATATTTCAGAACCTCCGAACACAGTACGGTGACGTGTTCAGTATCAAACTAGGTTCTAACTTCACGGTCGTCATCAATGGAGTAGACGCGCTCAACGAAGCGTTCGTGAAAAATGCCGATCGCTTTTCAGACAGACCAGACAACTTCGCTGTGCCATCCATTTTACGTGGAAAAGGTTTGTTGACTCCTTTGTTTGTTATATTGATATCTGTATTTATACGCAGCATGACCTGTCTCTATTGACGCCTGAATAATCTTGTCATCTGAGTAAACCGGACACCTGGCGTGACCGTGACACCTTTGGGCATGCGTACCGTTATAGCTTCTAAATCTATTCTTAAAAATAGGGGGTTCGAGGCCATGACGCGTGGTTAGATCGTTTTAGGGACGAAGGTCATAACAGTGATTTCCATGAATTGATTTTTGAAAATTTCATTACAAAATGCAATTGATATTACAATCTTGAAATTGTTGAAAGGATTTGTGTATTCATAGTCATAGAATCTTCACTTACTTAAGTAACAGCTAGACCATTGGTTTCGTGGCTACTTTGGGAGTAGAGGCTCAACGAAGCGTTCGTTCGCTTTTCAGACAGAACAGACAACTTTGCTGGTCACTACAAAGTTCGTCCAAAATCCCAAATCTAGTTCGCTGCTGACGGTCTTGGGTAACAGTTCTCCAGGCCTTTCCAGCCATCTCAGGATAACAAAAGAATTCCCTTTTTTTCTAAATATCCGAAAGAAAACGGTATTTTTAACTGTGCCTATGAAAGGCGCCTTTAATCGTCAAATGCTTTTTATCAATCATATTAGACGAAGATGCATGTGCTTCGTTGTGGTTAGGCTATTTATTTCAGACGAGACGAATGTCACTAAAAACAATGTGATCTATTTTGTGTACTTATGAAACCGTGTATTAACCGATAAAAACTGATTTTATTTCATTCTTATTTTTATTTTTATTTTTTTTTATAATTGGCTTGTTTCAAGGAAGATCATATATCATTTGAACTTCTATACCAGGTGTGACTTCAAATACATGCGTACTAAATCCACTTTTGATCCTCGCATGTATTTTAACACTTAATAAAGTGACCGGAGAATCACATTGCATGAAACAGCTGCGAACACACAATACCTGTATCTTACTTCCCCGTAGCAGACTAAACAGAGCTGTTTTTAATGACACGCCTATGACAATTCCTTGGTTATTTTGGTTTCGGTTTAGACATTCTCAACGGTTATAATGGTATTAGAAGAAAAAATTGACTCCGAATCACATAAACTTTGTTTTGACGAAATGCACGGTTTAAAGTAGTTTCTAGAAGACTTGACTCAAGTCTAGCGTCACACATATATATATGTACTACAGTACCCTTTTATTTAAAGTCACACGTCCTTAACTTATCTCGAAGATAAATATAGATTTCGGGAATACACACATTACAATATAATGCGACGTTTCTTTGCTTACTTGCTGCATTTCATTAGCGATTGAACGAAATGAAAGTAATCACAAAACCACTGCAACATTTTTAAACACAGCAAAACCCGTCTAATCTGAAAATCCAGCAGAATATAGTAATTCTATTTTTCATGAAAATTATTACAAACAACGACCTTTAATTCTGCCATACGATTATCGCTGGATGGTCGGGTGCGCAGTAGATTGCGCACTTGCTTTTCAAAAAGACATCCGGGCCGGGTTCGATTACATAATTGGACGTGAAAAGGTATAAGATAACCTACCCGACCATGTGGGTTTTCTCCGGGCATTCCGGTTTCCTTTCACATTCAGATATACTATCCGGTTAAAACAGTAATTGATATAAATCGGACAGCATTTTTTACTGTACTTATAACAGTAATACAAAAAAAAAGTGTAATATTGAATGCCTGCGATGAGTCTTTAATTGATTGACCAAAGCTGATACACGTTTCGTATTTTGTTTAGGGAACCATGCATCGGAAACATTTTCCAGCTTGACTATAGCTTTGATAAACCATTTTGGAAACGAATAGCTTATCCTACGGAACTTTCGTGAAAAACATAATAATGAAATAAACAAACAAATGTGCTCTGAATGTAAAACATACAACAGGTTCATAGCAGGATTCGAACCCGTGACCTCAGATCAATATCCTGACCTAGTCGCGCTACAGTAACATCCAAAACGAAATGTTAGGGGGTAACTATATATGTATGTGTACCTGAAACTGTAATAGAACTCTCCAGCGTTTTGCCTGCAATGGGATAGGAATCCTTAAACCTTGTGCAAAAGACGATTAACATCAGACTTTAGGCCAATGACTAAAGATGTATATGATCTGTTGACGTCACACTACATATCGTTTAGTGCGATTTCGTGTTTCAAATTCACTGAAATTCGTTTGAATGTTCTGATTTTTAACTTGATTCCGTGAAGAAGTTATGTTCTCTGAACGGCTGTATTAGGTGTGTTCTAAAATTAATGCGTAATAAATTCACAATCGATCTCCGTGCGAATTTTCACACTAAATAAGCTTAAGTAACTTAACTGGAAATGCATATTGACTGATACAACTAAAACAGGAAACGCCTGCTCAATATCTTCCGTCATAGAGTACACAATAATTGTAGTGCCATTTCCCGTGGCAGACTGAATAATACAATTGGGTTTTTTCAATGACACACCTACACAATTCTTGAGTAATTTTGGTTTCGGTTTAGCCACCGTTCATGTTTTTATTTATCAAACCTATTTGATTCCTTTATTATGAAATGTTTCTTGTTGCACAATCAATACGTGTTTCTACGTGACGTTTCGATGACTAACTAGTACGGTATGTACTCTGTATTCTTCAGCAGACAAATGACCAGTGAAGCGTATGCACACAAAGGTGAAAAATGTGTACGAGTTGTCCTCAAATCGATGGCATAGGGCCATGGGCTCATAGACTCTCGACATCGATTTGTAGAAAACTCGAACATATCACTGGTCATTTGTCTGATGAACTTGACAGAGTACATACCGTACTAGTCATCGAAACGTCACATAGAAACACTTATCGGTTGTGTAACAAGAAACTTATTATAATCCATACTTACCAACCTGAAGAAAATGTTTAGAAATATTTGATTCCTTGTACACATATAATTTCTTTTGACAAAAAAGGGAGGAGAGCAGTTTCTGGAGGGTTTAATCTTGTCTCACGTCACCTGTATAGCTATTTATACGCTATCCCTCCATCAATAGTCACGCGTCTTCAACTTATCTCATTTGTATAGAGTACATACATTTATAGAATTCGGCAATACACATAACTCATATAGTAACAGAATGTGTACAATTGCATACGAAGTGCGATTACGCTTGTAAAAATACACACGTAGTCACACTGAATTTACAATAAGAGACAGACAACCATATTTATCGGTTATTTTCAGGGGCCGCGGTGGCCAAGTGGAATGAAGGCGTTTGCCATTCTGCTTCCAATAGCCCTCCACCATGCACTGGGTCGCGCGTAGGTCGGTGGTTTTTCTCCGGGAACTCCGGCTTTCCTCCACCACCAAAACCTGGCACGTCATTTAATGACCATAGCTGTTGATAGGACGTAAAACACAAACAAACCAAACCAAGCCAAAATTATTTTCAACACTTAACCCTGTTCTTTGTTTGTTAAAGTTAATGTTACAGTTAAACCATTGTTATTTGTTATAATAGAAAAAGTTCAACATTATTTTTTATAAAACGCTTTCATTTTACCCTCAATAATGTTATAATGAAGTTTCTGTATTTTTGTTCTTGAGCCACTTTCGGGTAAAGAACAAATGAAGTATGAGCTGTGAAAAAAAACATAAAATATTTCCTTCTCAAAAAAACAGATGCTGGGAAACCAGACGGATTAGGGAATACTTTCATAACAATATAATCTTATACATTATGTTTTTAATCTTTTTATTTAATAGGGATCGGAGCGTCTTCCGGTGAACACTGGAAACTAACGCGGACCTTCTCTCTGTTGACACTTCGAGGTTTCGGGTTCGGTAGAAAAATCCTGGAATCAAAAGTGAAGGAAGAGGTCACAGCCTTCTTGGATGTCATTGAAAAGCAAAAAGGACAACCTTATGACGTCAAGGAACTTATTCTCATATCTGTTTCTAATATCATATGCAGCATTGCTTTCGGAAATAGATACGAATACACCGACGCAAAATTCAAGCGTCTGACTGCCCTGCTGAATGAGAACTTCCGGTTAAATACGGTCGCTGGTGCGATTCGGCAGTTACCATGGCTACGGTTCCTGCCCGGAGATGTATTCAGCATTAAGAAGTTTCATAGGAACGGTGCACAGGTTAAAGAGTTTGCGAACGGTCAAATAGCTGATCACCGAGAGACGTTTGATGAAAACAATCCGAGAGATTTTATTGACGTCTTTCTCCAACAACAGAGTAAAGCTGGCCGGGATCATCCCATTTTTGAAGGTACTGTGCCTTGATCTCAGTTCAAAGAAAAGCTAAGTTGGATTTTTAATACAACAGGTTGCATTAATTTGTTGGTAAATACAAAACCGAACAAAAATTAACCATTTCCGTAAATATTTGAAGCAATAAACAAGGATGTTTTTAATTGTATCTTTGAAGGAGGGCGATTAAAATCATGAAATATAGCAAAGTTATATACATTATGATAGCAAATAAAATAATATTACTAGATAACAGAGAGTATTTCTATTTTCGTTTGAATCCAGTTGAGTTTATCTTTACTGTTTTTCAGACGCCAACCTGGCAGCTATAATTAAGGATCTCTTTTCGGCTGGGACTGAAACAACTTCCGCCATGATTCGATGGGCGATACTTTACCTCATTCACAACAGACCTGTCCAGGACAAACTCCGACATGAGGTAGCGACTGTGGTCGGGACGTCCAGACTTCCGTCACTAGACGACAAAGCCTCCATGCCTTACTACGAGGCGTTTATAATGGAAGTTCTTCGGATGGGCAACATTGCACCATTGTCTGTGGGTCATGGAGCCAGAACGGACATTCACTTCCGGGGCATGATGATTCCAAGAGGGTCGATCATAATTCCTAACCTTAACTCCGTCATGACCGATCCGGACCTGTTTGAGGATCCTCAGAAGTTCAATCCAGACAGATTTCTCGGAAAGGACGGACGCGTCATAGACAGGAAAAAGATGGCTATCGCTTTCTCATTAGGTAATGGACGTTATTTTGCATGAGTGTCTGTAGTATATTGAATACATTATACAAGGTTAAAACATAACTGTATCATAAGCATTTTGGGGAATTATACTAGCAGTTATTCAACGAGTTGTAAGGAATTTTAAGAAAAACATGGTCATGACTATGAATTCATTACCGTATTTAAGTTTTGTTACACAATCATCTTCATATATATTTGCGTGATGATACAATAGAAAACTAAATAGCTTTCCCTTTATCAAAAACGCTCTAAGAATAGATACAGTAGATGTTGTTCACTGAGCAATAAGTCAGTCGTCAAAATAAGCAATTCCGAAAATCAAATCAGAAATACGGTCACCAGACGGTTAATGTTTATAATTCTACAACATTGGCGGTGAAACGACACTTATTCATGTAATATTGAACAACTGACACACGGGTGCATGTTCTATTTGGCCAAATAGACCATGAAAGTCTCTTCCAAAAGCCTCCCGCGTATTGCAAATGTGAATTGTCTTGACAAAGAGTGTTCGTTCACTTACGACATATGTGCCCGAGATAATCTTTGAACACACTAGTTACTTTTTTTATAAGACGCCTATTGTGCCAGGGACAATCTTTTATTTAACTTTAAGTGTTTATTACAGGACGACGAATGTGCTTGGGACAATCTCTGGCGAAGATAGAACTGTTTCTATTCATCACGGCTTTAATACAGAGGTTTGAGTTTCTACCGGAAAACCCAGACCGGCTCCCACCACTCGAAGGCGTCGTGGGATTGTCTAGGACACCAAAACCATACAAATTCCGGGCTGTAACTCTGAACTGAAGTATGTGTCGAAATATATGGTGTTGGAAATTGTTTTATTCATGATTCATTACAAATGTATGTTATTACTGTTAATTTAGCTTTAGTTAAGCTCATATTTTTCTTGTGATATGGATAGTTTACGTATATATGCATTGCAAGGGAGATAACTCTTACACTTGCCCCATCCTACTGTGATTGACCTCATTATGATTTTTAATGCCGGTCTTGATGCGGCGTTTTTTTGAAATACTCTTTCACTTTAAAATTTTCGATAAAAAAAATATTCTTGATACTACAAATAAAATAAATCGCCTTTCGTATGATTTTTGACTCTGTAACAATTTATAACTTACAAAAATCATTCGTGTAATTTCTGGTTCCTCAAAAGAATAATTATGAGTTCTCGAATTTAAGCAACTTGATGCTAATATAATTACTAAATCAGGAAATGGTACTTGTTTGTTGATATGTTGTTTTCGGCTTTGTAGTTAAACAACATCCTTACTGCCAAAGGTATTGGATTCAGACGAAAAATGTTATTAATTATTGTTGATATCAGACACTGTTTTTACACCAGTGAACAATGAAGGTGCTGTGCGATCTGATGATGGCGTTGGACATATGCTACTTGTGATATTTTCTATGCCAGTAGTAATAGTCAGAAGATGTAGGAATAGTTACAGTATTAGCTTTGTCACTCGATTCTACTCTTTTCTATCATATTTCTTCTTTTTTTTTTTTTTTGCATTGCTATATCACTAGCTCTTTTACCCCTATTTATTTCTAGTAAACCCTACCATGCAATGATCTGGATGAGTCCATTATGGTCTACAGTGGTGAAAGGGTAAAATAATCGACCATACTCCTGTTGCAGTTCACCCTCAATCGTCCCTTCGTTCTTCGTTTAGTTTCTATCGTGATAGAGCTGTTCAAAAAGCAATATGAGATGTTGAACTGGCCTTTTATTCACTTCTATCAACACGATACACTTAGATTGTTTCACTCATTAGATCACAGGGACCTGAGAATTTGTTACAGCTATATTTGGACCCAAACTAATGTGCTTAGAGAATGTACACGTTTTGGGGGTTTAGATCAATTTTCGGAAAAAATGCGACCCCGTATGCGTGGCAGTTTTACTTAAAATTTGTCTAACCCCCAACCCCCAACCCCCACCCCACCCCCAAACGTGTATATTTACTTAAAGCATAAACAAATGCTCAGGTCCCTGTGATTGGACGATTTCGAAAACAACAGAGCATCATGGAAATGTAAATCAATGGCCTCCATGTTAAATTGCTTTTCAAGAAGTGAAACAAAAACATGCTTCATGCTAATATGTGTGGTCGATCCTGAAAACCTTGTTAGACAATTGATAAACGCAAAGCTGTATCTTATGAACAAAACTGTTGAAAAACAGGGAAATTGCGTTGGTAAACTGGATCGTGTCAACAGCATGAACAAATGTTGTACGATGACGTCACATGGAATGACGCTCAGTTTTAGAATATAATTAAGTTTACGAAATCGTCCATTACTATGTCATATTTGCGATTTAATTTGATTTTTCGTATTACTTTCGTGATTCAAATCCTGTTAAATTGCTGATTAAGATTTATAACTATATTACCAATGTTATATTTATGTTGTCGTTATTGATGTATGTGTCATCGTTTATTTAAACAGTGTCATCATTTATTTAAACAGTGTCAACATTTATTTAAACAGTATTATCGTTTATTTAAAAAGTGTCATCATGTATTTAAACAGTGTTATCGTTATTTCTAATTATGTTATAATTACGTGTAATTTCATTATGATATTTTAATTGTGTTGTTCATTTTTTATTCATTTTGTCAATATTTTTATTGTTTTACCACTATTAGAGATTGTGTCATTTTTTGTAGCATCATAATAATACGGCATACCTTGATTGTTATTTTAAGTTCTGTGATAATTTTATTTAAACTAATGTAATCTTTATCAATCATTATTTACACATTTAAGAGTTAGACTGTGTTATCATTACTTACTGTGGTAGTATTTTATGATAAATGGTATTATCCTCTTTTAAAAGTTGATTATTATTTATTTTTAAAGTTTTTGTTTGGTTTAATTAACACTCATTACACGGTAGAGTATCTTGTTATAGAGTCATTGTTTGCATACCTGATATCGACACAGCATATTTAATTATGTGTTGACCTTTACTGATTAAAGGGTTGGCTCGTCAGTAAAACAAATATCAGCATAATGGGGACTACAACAAGGCCTCGACATAATGTCCCTTGGTTCATTTGCAACATCGTTTATCACGTTTAAATGTCCTTTTTCTCGTTTTCTCACGAATTCATCTATATATTTCCTCGATGTATCGCCAAACCCCTGTCTAACGCCAACATTTCTCCAGACAAATGGTGGCAGTGTAACGAGGTTTAACTGTTGTTTTATGAGATGCCGGTGTCCTTTCTACTCTGGGACACTCAACGCCAATCGGGAACCGTCGGCACTTTCGATATTTTCTCGTTTACGGCAAGTGCCGAAGGTTCCCGATTTACCCCTCGCCAGATTTGGGTTACGCTCACACTACAAAATGCTTAATCAATTTAATTCATCTATAAAATTAAATTTGTCTAATTCAATTAATATTTTGAATTAATTCACTGCTTTTGAATATCAATTTATTTAGAAAGTACAATATTCAGTGAAACTATACAAACATCGTTTAATAGGCAGATCCCAAAACTTTTAGTCAACCATGTTGAAAATATGCTTCGTTTTAATACTGGTCGTCTGTATATGCATTTTGCTTTTCAAAAGTATTTGTTCCTTTCAAAAAATCAAGCAGTAACATGCAGTACTGATTACATGTTTTTTGAAAGACACTCTTGACTTGTGTTGTTTTTCTTTGTATTCTTTATACAAACACTTCATACCATACAATAGAACATTACAAAAGTACGAACGTCGTGATGGCCTCCGTTTTTGAGCTATTGTGTGTGTGTGTGTGTGTGGTGCGGGGGTCTGAATCGTTCACCTGCTATTAATCTCTAACTTGTAACCTTTTAAGTGGACTAAAATAAAGCTATAAGACCCCTGTAACTTTGAAAGTCGAACAATTTCATTACGTGGAACATACTTTATAGCCCTTAATCTCAGCATGCAACTTGCCAAATATAACCACCCTATACCTTTTGTGTATTGAGATTCGGTCATTTAAAATTGTATACACACTTGACAAAATGTGACCTTGAATATAGGTTAAGGTCATTCATCTGAACAAACTTAGTAGCCCTTAATCTAAGATATTACTGACATCAGCCTGGGCCTTTTGATTATTCAGAAGTCGTTCAAAGTTGGTAGCCCTTTATGCAAGCATGTCACTAGCCAAACATCCTCACCCTGTGCCTTTTGGTTATACAGAAGAAGTTGGTTGAAAGTTTTTTTAAGATTATTAACCCGGTGACCTTGAATATAAGTCAAAGGGTCATTGATTTGAACAAACTTGGTAGCCCTACATCCAAACATGAAACCAAACTGACGACTCTGAAGAGAGTAACACAGACTGGTAGCAATGCATGTCCAGTTTCTGAGCACTGATGAGAAATGTGTCGAATACACGAATTTGAGGGAAATTATGCAGCAATACTCTCTGTTATATTGATCAAAAATTGTTTTTCTCCTTTAATTTTACCTGGAGAGTCAGTATTCAATCTTTTTCTTTCCCCTAAAGTGAGAACTTATTCCATAATTGCGTCGTTGAACAGCTCCATATTTAGTGACCAGTTTTTGGAAGATCAAAAATGTTTTTCCCTTTAATTTTACCTGCAGAGTCAGTTTTCAGTCCTTTTCTTTACTTTACAATGAAAACTTATTCCGCCATGTCGTCGTTGAACAGCACTGTATTTACATGTAATGACCAGTTTGTGTGCCGGATTATTTATATTGCAAAGTTATATACTATGATACGGTTATTTTTACAAAATTTCTTCAACGTTGATGTCTGCTATGTTTTTGAAGGGCAATAAAATGTATGTCATATTTTGAATATTACCTCATAATCGCAAATCGTCTTCCTTGTGTAAGGTCGACAATTCAAAATAAACAGCAAAATACCGACAAATAGTTACACATTTAATTGTATACAGTACTTATGTATGCGATGCTAAATTATATATTTACCTCGAAAATATAATTATATTATAGGATTCAAAATGAAAATAAAAACATATGTTAATATACACAATTTATAATTTAACATCTTGGTTCAATAATAAAAAATAATCTCAATCCACTCCCTTAGCCCACTTAGGTGTGCATTGTGTACGAGTAAACAACACTAAACACACCTGTGTCCAGTGCTGACAGCAGGAGTGGTTGGTTGGTTGGTACTTGCCCGAGTTTCCTCTGGCCCTAACACCAGACTTAGACATTTTGACATAGGGATATCTGGTCTGGGGCTCCCACACCAGACATCTTCTATATGTCAAGATGTCTAAGTCTTTTGTTCGGTCGACGTGAGGGGGTAAGTTGCCGCTTACCAGGCCCTCGGAGATTCTAAAGACCTGCGAGGTTGGACAGCTCCTCAGATGCGGATATCTATAGGCTGTCACAGCTACTGCAGTCCTCGGATCGACGCCTTTAGTGTAGTCCTCGCTGACCTCCTATCAGCAGAAGGTTGGTTGGTTGGTTGGTTGTTGGTTGGTTGAAGGGTTTAGCGCCTACATGAATCCACCCTTACGGGTTTCATCTCACTGACGGTATCAGTAGAAGGCCCAAGGCACACCTTTATACATGTGTCCAGGTATGACATCAAAGGGATGTCAGCAGGTGGGCCATCCCCGATACACCAGGGGGTTAAACTCACTGATTCTCTCTGCACAAAGTGAGCGTAACCCCTGGATATCCAGGATGGAGATGTAGTGTTTAGATATATTCCGTCTAGAGTTCGGTGGGTCCCTGGTTTGAACCAGGTCTTGCCGTGCATGTTTTCATCTCTTGTTACAAACTGGTATAAAATACAGTTAAAACATGATTTTATTGTAGAAGGTCTAAATTTTGCAATAACATTTACCCCCTGGAAAATGATCCTGTATGTGACAGAATCTGTTAGATCTCAAAATTTGTTTTTTCGCCTGGCGGTTTAGCCCACGTTGTCCCCCTTTAAAGACCCTAGACACACAGGAGGTGTGTGTTGGGGGGGGAGGGGGGACGACAAGGCGGTCCCCAGACCATCCACCTATGTTTTACAGCGCTCGTTACTCGTAAATGAATCCACTCCCAGCTACACCCTTGATAACTAAACTACTGCTGGGTTTTATAAAGTGAAGCACTTTTGTACGAAATGCTGAGAATTTCCAAACAAAAGAATGACCTAGCAAGTTAGCGCAGACCTAAGTCGTCAGCATACCGCAGGGGAGACAACTCCTCCTTCCTTATTCTGGAATACTCTTACTTACCGATAGGGAGACTCGAATCAATTACAGGAAGGTTGTTTGGGCCTTCTTTTTCTGATGTTAATGGAGTGCTATTAGACGTTATAAGGTTTATATATTGGCATTCGGTAACATACACACTTCATCACTATCTTGATGGTGTAATTGTGTAATGAACCATCCATGGGAGGGGCATATTTCACCGACCTGTCATTAATCTAACACACAGGGACCTGAGAATTTTGTAACAGCCCGTTGGACCTAAACTACGGTGTTCAGAATAATTTTATATGTTTTAGGGGTTTAAATCGACTTTTAGTCGACATCGAGAGCTTTCCACCCTTCTCGTATATACATAATCATTGTAGGTGGCATTTTTATTGAAAGTCGATCTAAACCCCTAAAACATGTAAAATTACTCTGAACCTCTTAGTTTAGATCCAAAAATATAGCTGTAACAAATTATCAGGTCCCTTTGGTGTAACACATACATGTAGCGAGGGTGAGAATGATTTGGAGAAAAAAAATATGACGGCCGCTTCGGACTACGAGTGCGGCCCCCCACGTAGTTATAACTTGGCTTTAGGATGCGAATAATTGTCCTGTAAATACATTTTATTTGAAAAGTGTCGTTACATTGCCGGTGTGGTAGAAAATAGCATGTTAACCGGTACCCTTGATGGTCGATATCGATAAACCTTAGCGTGGTATTCAGCCTGTTTTAACAATCGGGAACTGTCGGCACTTTCCGTAAACGAGAAAAATACACGTTTACAAAAGTGCCGACTGTTCCCGATTGCCTGTTTTTGTGATTGATAGTGGTTAAAGGAAAGAACAAAATGTGTTTAAATATATCATAGTCTTTCATTGAACTTGCGGAATTACTCACGTTCTCCTCTATAGAGTGTTATTTTTCTAAGGTACAAGAAGAATACGTTCTGAAATATTCTTATGATTGTTACATGATGTCCTGCGAAGACAATCTTTTCCTCCGGTCTTCTTGGAGTGTTGTTTTCCTGAGGCCGTGCTAAGAATATCTTCTAGATTTTCTTCTCCCGGGGTCCCATCGTGTTGTAACAGAAGTCATTATTTTTCAATGTCTCAGCCATGCCGAACCTGGGACCTCGCGGTTACTATAGTCGTATGTTCTACCGCATGAGCTACCTGGCCGAATCGGTACATATAGGAAGCGGAAAGTATTTTGTACTAGGGTGACAATACTCCCCCTCTAGGAAAGAACTCGTCCCGAGTTTTCCAGGGGGTCGTAGCGATTCTTGCGAAAGTATCACCGAGTAATTTAATATAGCATAAACAATGTCTTTCGGTAAAAATAGTATTCGGGGATCGTCATGTACACAAATCTTAATCAATCAAAATTATCAGACAGACCGTTAAAATGACAGAAATAAGATTCAAATTCAATCGTTTATCACAGTACCATGTCAGATCGATACCAGCGGTCAGCTTATGAAAATCACGGAACTTAACATCGTAACCAAGTCGTCAGAACCCTTTGCAGATTTGTCAATTTTGGGGACACAAAAATATCAAAAATAAATCTGCTGCACCCATCAGAACACTTTAAAGCCTTACTTGTCAATATACCTCGCTTTTGATCTTGGTGTATTTTTTAAAACGTTTCGCCGAAATGAGTTTTTTTGGGGTTCGCCCCTTGACCGTGACAACGTTTACCTCATCATCCGTGGATGCTGTCTTCGGCAATTAGTGGGAGTTAGTGGGTTTAGATCGACTTTCGGTAAACATGCAACACCCAATGATAAATTATCATTGCGAGTGGAGTGGCATTTTTACCGAAAGTCGATCTAAACCCCTTAAACAGGTACAATTACTCTTAACACCTTAGTTTAGGTCCAAATATATCTGTTACAAATTCTCCGGTCCCTGTGTCCATTTCAGGTGATGCGACGACGTCGAAAAGCGCTAATAGCTAACCATGTAAGCGACGTTATATGAAATATTACACTATATATGTCAATCTCTCCGTGTAGCTATCGTGTACTAATTCTAGTTCAATGCCTTGACCTGCGTTACGACAGATACATGACTGACAAACAGCGACACACATTCAGAGGTGCTGAAATTTATAAATCAAACCTACAATATTAGGGGTGGAGGGGGGCACAAAATTATTATAACAATATAATATAATCGTTTTTCGTGGAAGTTGGTGGGGAGGGGGGGATGTTCCGAATTTGCTATTTTAATTTGTGGGAAGAGAAGAAAGTAATCTATAAAAAATGTGTTAATTCGGGGNTTTGTGGGAAGAGAAAAAGTAATCTATGAAAAATGTGTTTATTCATGTATGACCCTTTTATCGCCCAGTGCAATCTTCGAAAGGACTTCACATTCCCTCCTTATCAGTTCCCAATCCCATTTTTTAACTTATTTTTTTACCGAGACAGCCCCCAGAAGAAATGTATGTGTGTATCATCGAGTGTAAAGCGGTACACATGTTTTATTTCGCAAGAGAAATTCCGCTGTCACTCAAAGAAAACACGGACAAGTCCATAACGATGCTATCTCAAATAACTGTTGGATTAGAGACCTCAAATTCCACTGGTACACGCCGTTTACGCATTAGTATCCTCACCATCCCGTTTCCATGGCAACGATCACGCCTTATCTTTATTTTCATCACATGCATATCCTACTGTCGAGTCCATCACTCCTAACACAGGGGATCGTTTCTAATTATAATACATGACAGAAAAGTATACGGTGGTGGAGGGTGGGGGATTGGACTTTTAGAGGAAGAAATGCACTCCTGCAAAATATTTTCATGTCTTAACCATAATTAGAAACAAACCCATGCGCTCTTAACCTTGAACATCGCTTTCCGTTGTCTGGCCCGGCGGTCAACGTACGGTAAACACCAACAGTATACGTATCTGCGTCTTAGAATGTGTTTCTTGTTTTCTTTTACTTTATCTCTTTTGTTGTTGAACGAGACTGCTTTTGTTGTGGAGTTTGTTTATGATATTCTCTCCAATAATGTTTATGTTTGGAAATTTGAGGTATAAATCGAAGAAGAATGTTGAAATTATTTGTACCCTATTCTGTTATACATATTATTTCTGGAAATCAATGTGTTAAACTTTGACGGGCTAACCGTATTCGGTCACAAAATAATTTTACATTATTTGCAAATATTATTATATACGGTGGCTGATTGAGGACATCCAAAGAATATGTTTTATCCCGTTATAACGACTTAGTGTCTCGTGATAACGACTTAACATCTCGTTATAACGACTTAGTGTCTCGTTATAACGACTTAGTGTCTCGTTAACGACTTAACATTTCGTTATAACGACTTAGTGTCTCGTTAATTACATGAACATTATCTCATTTTTTTTAAAATCTATATAACTCTCACATGATATTAAGACACATTTATCTTACAACTGTTTTGACAATATTTAGAGCAAGCAGATTGTTGAATGACGTCATATTGATATTGATGATCCCCGTACCACTACCAACTAACTAACGACGCGTTGGATTTCTGAAAAGAATTGAAATAATACAAATGAAATATACAAAATATGATCAACAGCAGTATTCTGAATGTAAAATTAGACTGGGATTCCAACCCTGGATTACAGATTGATACTACATCGCTCTAACCTATTAATCTACCTGTTCAACATAACTGTCTCGGCCTTACTGTAGTACAGTGATACATTATATCTAAACGGAGGTTAAAAAAAAGCATGTAAAAAAAAGCATAAGCATGTAAAATATTTTTAGGCTCAATTCAGATTTTATTTTCCCGTTTTAAATTATACTCTTAAATAATAATTGATATAACAGATGTGACATGTCACTGGATGCGTTTTCCTTGATTTACCGGGCGACAGTATGATGGTCTCCTCATGTGGTTCAAGAAATCATAAGATATATCCTAGTTAATTGACTAGTTAATATACACTCGGATCTCTCCCTAGTTTGGGTTCATGTTTAACGTCTTCTGTATGATAAATTGATTCGAAACTCACAGGAACAGGATAGGTAAAGAAGTACATGATCGGTTGATCAATTGATATTTTCAACGCGAATACGTCTCTATGTAATATCAACATTAACAGGCCCATTCTCCAACCAGGTTTTAATGGGATCTTCTTCCGTGGCAGATATATATGGATAACATTTGATAACCTATGTCCCACATTGTTTCCTATGCCCCACATCAATGTCTAGTCGGGTGACAAGCACGTGCCGATGCCGAATGAAATCACGAGCTGTGGGGACAACACGTGACACACGGGACACACACTTACTGTACCGCACGCTCGCTACACAACAAACACACTGCCATACAAACACACTCATTAAAACTTTGAATTAGCTAGTTACTTTGTTTATTTGGTTCTTTGGATAGGGAGACACTGCCATGACGTTATAGTGGGCATGAGAGAACACCGAACAAAACGGTCTCGTATATATGTTGCTACAGAATTGGGGCAGCAGATCAATTTTTGGTTTCACCAATATCCCGACAGAGGACCAATCCCGATTCTGCTGGGGTTTGACATAAGTTGCAGCAGGTCTTTTCTTTCTCTGCACCTGCACCTGCACAGTTAAGTAAATTTAAATAGAACACTTCACGGGTTAACTCATTAGTAACTATCCATAAATTATCAAATTAAAGCTTTAATCCAATTTTTCTTCATGAATTTTATTATTTAAACCGGACATACAAGATTAAACCCGAGGCTTACCGAGCAATTTTCAACAATAACCACAATTCATTCACTGATATTGAATCTGTGTTAGCTTAAAATGTGACTCACACCCAGGTTCGTACTGTCGCTGTGGCTGTCGGTAAGTATATACATACATATATATATTCAACGTGATAGAAGGAAGACAATAGACATTGATTTGTTGAATCAGGCATGTATGAATCAAACCCATTTTCAGAATTACCGTAATGACATCACCACATTAACTATATGATTCATCTCCAACAAATAGTTCCTCATCATTGTGACGCGGAAGGATAGACCGCAGACGGAGCGTAAAGGCACGCCTTGTATTACTACGACACAGCTGCAATCTCGCATTCGATTCTGTATTCACGGCGAGGAAGGTTTCCCTAGACGTTGAAGGAAGCTTATACTTGTAAGTATGAACATTATCTTATGCAATACTTAAGATCCATTCAAAAGTGTGCTCGATGCCCCCTTCCTTTTGTATATTTGTGAAACTTACTATGAATCCATCTTGTCGCCGGGAGAGAAAAGAAAAAAAAAACTGTGTTATAGTGCCTGTATAAATGGAATCACTCAAGCGTGACGAGATAGTATATACGATTGACATTCAAACATTTAAATTTCCGCTATCAAAAAATGCGATTATACATAATTCAATTTGCATATAATGTATAGTTTGCAGTTATTACTGGTTAAATCATTATGTTAATGACACGAACGATAATTAGATATTTGATGCAGCCTACAGACGCTTTTTAGTGATAGACACGATAGAGATACAAAAGCTTTGTTGCCTCGAGTCGATTATCCTGAACACTCAACAGTAGCTCTTTGAGTCTATCTTCGACTATTACTGATGAAGTTGAAAGTATTTATCGCGAGAGCTTTTGTGTAATGTTATTTTTTTTTATTAAATGACTTTTTGTTTTCTTCAGAAAAGAAAATGTCTGACAAACCCGATATATCAGAAGTAACAAGTTTCGACAAGTCGAAGCTAAAACAGACAAAAACAGAAGAAAAGAACCCATTACCTACGAAAGAAAGTAAGTTTAAAAGAAAGTTTTCGAGACGCTCCCTTGTAATTGAGAGAACGTTTTTGTCCGCAGTTACAGATGTAACGAGAAGTGGCAGGCAGTTGAGTAAATGTTTATTGAAGTGTTACTTGTTTAATTCAGCCAGTGTTACTTTCTAAAGATGGTTTTGGGGGGAAATTGGGGTGAAAATTGTCAAATTTCATACCGAGGTCATTTTACATATTAAATCCCATTTTTGTTCCGTTTATTTTTGCATATGCGACATTCGATATCGTGTTCAAATTCTTCTTCCCAGCGATGTTAGCCCCGATTGCTCTAGAATGTATATTCTACAGTATATGTTAGTCCACGTTAGAGTGGAGCGCACAGAGTGCAATGATCGATACGCTACTCGCTGTGTCAGATAAACCTGTCGCTGAAAGTACAAGTTTGCCCGGCTATACAAACGTGCGATCGGAGTTCTCGACCCCGCACAGTTGTGTCAGCTTTAGCAGGTGTGCTGGTATTTCTACCTGTGATGTTGACGCGTCGGGATTTCATCATTTGACAGTTGGAATTTAAAACAGTTTTAATCGATCTTTTATTTTAAAATCAATGCTCGACAGGAAGACGGATTAACTCCCGACTTCACTTTGAACGTTGAATGTCCTGTATGCTACGGAAAAAGCCCAGATAATCACCAAAAAGGAAGGAAGTCGATAAGCTGCCTACACTAGTCAATTTTAGAAAATTATATCTTCCGCCTCGCCGCTTAGGAAACTAGCTTAAACATAATTATTTGTCGGCATGAACTTAAATTGTTTTGTCGTTGTGTATCGACTCAAAACGTGAATATATAGATGAAAACGAGATACGTGTCCTTTAGTGTGCCGTCATCTGTACAGGACTTCGTGTTTTTATGGATCACAAAATTTAGAGACCGGTCAATTTAAGTTGCTTCCTTTTTGTGAAGTTATACAGCTTGCATATGACATTGATGTATTATTATAAGTCGATAGAGCGTGGTCGTTTACCATACCAAATATTGCATGGGTCGCTTATTACTGACACTATCTCTCCTGTTCGCGTCCGCAATCCATGAAGGATAGTTAGGTTTTGGTATGTCCCAAAAACATAATGAAACTTAGTTCGGATATTTACGTATGTAGAGCATGACCTATGTTTACATACTTGACAGTGAAATACCGTCCTATAGAAGGTCACATTCCAGGCATACATCATAAAACTTGCTCCCCTTCTATACAAGACGTCATGAACACAAATAATGTTACGTGTGCAAAAAATATTGTACTCGGCACAGCTCTTCCGAAAAGTTAACGACACTCGCAGATATGCACTGCATGCGCACGCGTTGTACTTGTCTTGCCTCATTGCGTTTGGAATGGTGAGTTTGTGGTCTGGTTAGTCATCAGAGAACATCTGTCATTAAACTTGAGGCGTTAAAGGGGAGAGGTGATGGAGTAAGCACAATCTTTTAAGCAGGAAACATTTCGTACGTGCACTAGTTTGAGGAAGTTCCCGGCAGGCCGCGGAAGGATCAATTTCGAGTGTGTTTAATTTAAGTGTATGAAGAGGCGGACGATGTGTATGCAAAATTTGCGTGAACTTTCATCCCTAGAGGGCTTGAAGGGATGGAATTATGACGTGCTAGACAGATAAACAATGGCGATATACACACGCGCGCGCGCATACTTCCTTACGTATTGCACTTTAATCCCAAAAGTTGAGTGACGCAGCTTCCAGTTCCCCATAATGAGCCCCAAAGGGCCTCGTTACTCGGTGAATGAAACACGAAATCTGATCTTGAGCATGTCTGATTTCATCGTCTGCGATTTACCCCCCGACACATCTGCTAGCCTTTGTGACAAGGCTGTGGGGTCGTACGCCCGCGTTAAACCGCTCACATGTACACGAGATGGAGTGTGGAATTAAATTCACGCAGTCATCTAACTCGCTTGTAACGTACACGTGTTGCATTGTAGTCGAACGTTTGACACATTATTGAATAAACCCCACTCATGATGCACAAGAAACTACGAATTAAATGTTACCGGACATTTTGATATCTCTAAAAGTCACTAAATGTACATGTAAACGCAGAAAGCTTGCGGTGCAGCTGTGTCTCGGTTTGAAGCCGATTCGCCGTTAATATGTTTTGACATGCTTTCAGCTGAGATTTTCCGATGCGTTTGTTGGCAATGTACACTGACATTACGTAGCATGTAGAATACGACAAGTCGCTCGTTGTCTTGGCAACCGTTTAACGCTTCTTTGTTCACAAAGTTGGTGTACGAAACCGCGTGTCTATTTATCACGCGGATGTTACAGAATACGGCGCGTTCTGCGCTATCTACAGTTTTCCCTACTGTATCTAATCGATAACGGTCATGCTGTGTACACAACACAATTCTGGTACTGTTTTGTCAAATCCAGTAAACTGATAGCTGTCATTACTGATACATTGTGTAATAGGCATCGCTCGTATTGATACTCGATAATGACGTGGTCAGATCGGGTAGCCGCGACTTAATCATATCAAAATTATAGATTATTTGATTTGTTAAGTCCTCGCGGAATAGGTACATAGTTAACATTAAGGGTACCCACAGTCATGTACGTCGACAAATAGTCCACATATCCCTGCTCAGTCATCAACACACTTGAGTCATCATATTCCCGCTAATTCATGAACACAACGAGTGGGCGTAGTGCTGGTCAGTAACGAACACATTGCAATCGCTATGCCCCTGCTCGGGCATAACAATGAGTTATCAAATCCTTACTCAAATTTGTACCCACTGATGTTAACTTGCTCGGTCAGAAATACAATGAGGCAACACATTGCTGCTCCGACATGAACACACTGAGTCAACACATTGCTGCTCAGTCATGAACACATTGCTGCTCAAACATGAACACATTGGGTCTGCACATTGCTGCTCAAACAAAAACACATTGCTGCTCAGTCATGAACACACAGAGTCGGCACATTGCTGCTCAGACATGAACACACTGGGTCAACACATTGCTGCTCAGTTATGAACACACGGAGTCGGCACATTGCTGCTCAGACATGAACACACTGAGTCAACATATTGCTGCTCAGTCATGAACACACCGAGTCGGCACATTGCTGCTCAGACATAAACACACTGAGTCAACACATTGCTGCTCAGTCATGAACACACCGAGTCGGCACATTGCTGCTCAATCAGAAACACACATTGCTGCTAAATCAGAAACACGTTGCTGCTTAATCAGAAACACACTTAGTCAACACATTGCTGCTCAGTTATGAACATACTGAGTCAACACATTGCTGCTCAATCAGAAACACACTGAGTCAACGCATTGCTGCTCAATCAGAAACACTGAGTCAACACATTGCTGCTCAGTCATGAACACACTGAGTCAAACACATTGCTGCTCAGTCATGAACACACTGAGTCAACACTGCTGCTCAATCAGAAACACTGAGTCAGCACATTGCTGCTCAATCAGAAACACGTATTGTGCTCAATCAGAAACACACTGAGTCAACATATTGCTGCTCAGTTAAGAACATACTGAGTCAACACATTGCTTCTCAATCAGAAACACACTGAGTAAACGCATTGCTGCTAAGACATTAAAACATCGAGTCAACACTGCTGCTCAATCAGAAACACTGAGTCAACACATTGCTGCTCAGTTATGAACATACTGAGTCAACACATTGCTGCTCAATCAGAAACACACTGAGTCAACGCATTGCTGCTAAGACATTAAAACATCGAGTCAACACTGCTGTCATTCAGAAACACCGAGTCAACACATTGCTGCTCAATCAGAAACACACTGAGTCAACACATTGCTGCTCAATCAGAAACACACTGAGTCAACGCATTGCTGCTAAGACATGAACACACAGAGTCAACACTGCTGCTCATTCAGAAACACCGAGTCATCGCATTGCTGCTAAGACATTAAAACATCGAGTCAACACTGCTGCTCATTCAGAAACACACTGAGTCAACACATTGCTTCTCAATCAGAAACACACTGAGTCAACGCATTGCTGCTAAGACATTAAAACATCGAGTCAACACTGCCGCTCAATCAGAAACACTGAGTCAACACATTGCTGCTCAATCATGAACACACTGAGTCAACACATTGCTGGTAAACACATTGCTGCTCAGACATGAACACACCCGAGTCAACATGTCCTTGCTCAGACATGAACACACAGTCAACACTGCTGCTCATTCAGAAACACTGAGTCAACACATTGCTGCTCAGACATGAACACACCCGAGTCAACATGTCCTTGCTCAGTCATGAACACACCGAGTCAACATGTCCTTGCTCAGTCATGAACACACACAGTCAACATGTCCTTGCTCAGTCATGAACACACACAGTCAACATACTGCTACTCAGTTATGAACAAAATGAGTCAACATCTCCCTGCTCAGTCATGAATACGCTTGTCACAAGAGTCAACAAACTGCTGCTCGGTCATGAAAACGGTTACGCCAAGTCTACGTATTCCCACTCGTTCATTATCGCACTGAGTTAACATATCTCCCGGTCAGTATTGTATCCGCAAAGTCAACACATCACTTCACCGTTAGATTTTTTAAGAACCGGCATGTACTGCTCACAGTTATACACACAACACATTGGTATAAACATTCGTTGAAAGCATATTATTTTGGTTTACTGATAATGCCAAGTCGTATTTTCTTCGGTGGCCTCGTGGTGTTTATTTTGACTCACCGATGGCCTGTCGGAGGAGGATGACGCAGTTTATCTCTGCCAAGTGCCAGATTAATGTCCATGGCCATTTCTTATAGATAAAACTCGGGACATCATATGAATATTTATATCGGCGAAAGTGTACTCGTCAATGGACTAGTAACACGAGAAGATAATGCTTGCCGATGCGACTATATACATGTACAAAATATAGATTTTCTCGAGCTGCGATACACGTACCGACTGTGGTCTACGAGATATCTCTCAAATGTCTGGTAAACCGATCGGACGTAGATTTGACTGATTTTTGGGGAAAGTAGTGTTTGACGATGAATCATCCCTCTTCATCAATTTCCTCCCGAAAATGCTCCCCATTCACCCCCTCCCGCGCCCCACCACCGTGCTGCGGTAGAGGAGTGGCTAATGGTGACTCGGTGTAATGGCACAGTATGACTCCGAGTAGGTGTCCCGGGTCTGACCTGATGATTTTCCCAAATTAGCATCATCACATGTACAATGATTTCTGGCCTCGGCAGTGTCTACATGGGAACCGGTCCGACCTCGTCAAGAGAGTGACCATGATATACGGTGACCAGACTATTTTAGTGAAATTACATTTTGAAGTGGCTCTGGATTGGAAACCATCTTGATACGATGCTAAACAAAGACGGTATTAACATTCTGTAACGAAACCAGAATCGTTTCGACTTGTCCCCATAAACTGCATAATTCACCCGACTCTGCGGCATTTCACTGCACTCCATTATCAATTTACATCATTTATTATTTATAATCTATTCTGCAGATATAAGTAAAGTATGTTACAAGTCCATTTGCAATCAGAAACACTTGGAACGCGATGATTTCTGTGTCTACGGGGATGTTTCAAGAGCACGTGCGCTTTATTGAATCTAGACATTACGTCATTCTTGTTGGAGAGTAATCGATTAAACGAACAACAGGAATTTGTTTCAACTCGTGCTGCTAACTTCACATTTGTACATTTCAAAGATGAACCCTACACTTCCCGCTCCGTAATATAGACCTGTTACGGCCAGGCTGTTGTAAAAAACATACTTGGGGAATGTCTCGGAATGCGTTTTTTTAACTGGCAGAAGTATTTTTGCTATTTTTACCGGGTCTGGGTCTGTCTAGTTTGTGGTATGCATTAGGTACCATGCGTATTTTATTCGGGGAGCGCTTTGTTGTTATTTATTATGTTCAAGAGGGAGCGTCTCGAACACTTAAAACATATATGCAAGAAGCCGAGAACATTGGCGTAATTATGTGTGGTAGAAATGAAAAGTTTCGTTGTTTCTGAAAAGGTATCGAATTTCTATGCAAGAATAAATTGGTTTCAAATTTCAAAACACTTGCACGCACATTGAATTAACTGGTTAATACAATGAAGCACTTTAACAAAATCACCATACAATTTAATACATGAATTTTCATCTATTGTTCAGCTCTGCATAATACTTAACAGATTCTTGTTTTCTGTCTTTGTAGCAATTGAGCAAGAAAAGAAAGCGTGACGGATCTTGATGTCACGTGATCGGGATGGAGAATATACGTCCATGTTGTCGTTGCCAGTGGAAACAGTGCTTTTCGGAAATCTCGCGAGATTTCTGCTGTCATTATACATATAAACGTTTTATATTAAAATAATTCCATTTGTACATTGAAGATGACCAGTATCATTAGAATGTATTCATACCAACTTGCTAACATTCGGCTATCATATGATTATTTCTTTGTGTATAACTCTACATACCGTGATCGAAATCATGTGTTTTATTAACGAAATAAAATTCTGAGGTCGAGCCACGGTTTTTTCGAGGCTTCTTGTATGAAAAGTGTTGTTTTCATTTTTATAGAGATTTTATTGACAGCTGACATACATTTTTGCTGCATGACGGATGTTGCGTGTTTTGCCTAGTCAAATCCCGCTGAGAACTTGAACATCACGACAAAAGATCCCAAATTGTATGAAAGGTTCTTCAAAATGTCTAAATCGTCCCAGAGTTGTTCTAAACATTTGGAGTGACGATGTAATATAATTGAGCATGAATCGAAAATTATAAAAGTCCGACTTTTGACGCAAGAAAAAGGAAATTAATTGAACATGTATAATCTGAGAAATATGCCTTTACTTTTTGGCGTTTTCCAAACCTTTAAGAGACATTGAAAATGATTTTATGCATTTCTATGTGTAAATATCATAATTAAGCATGATTTTACTACGGCTTGGGACCCGACCATGTAGTTACCGTGAATGTCCACCTGGGACCCAATGTAGTTCCCGGGACCAGATCATATAGTTACCGTGAATACCCACATAGGACCCGACCATTTAGTTACCATGAATTCCCACCTTGGACCTGACCATGTAGTTACCGTGAATACCCACCTGGGACCTGACCATTTAGTTACCGTGAAGACCCACCTTGGACCTGACCATGTAGTTACCGTGTATACCCACCTGGGACCTGACCATGTAGTTACCGTGAATACCCACCTGGGACCCGACCATGTAGTTACCGTGAATACCCACCTGGGACCTGACCATGTAGTTACCGTGAATACCCACATAGGACCCGACCATTTAGTTACCGTGAATGCCCACCTGGGACCTGACCATTAGTTACCGTGATTACCCACATAGGACCCGACCATTTAGTTATCATGAATGCCCACCTGGGACCTGACCATGTAGTTACCGTGAATACCCACCTGGGACCCGACCATGTAATTACCGTGAATGCCCACCTGGGACCCGACCATGTAGTTACCATGAATGCCCACCTGGGACCTGACCATTTAGTTACCGTGAATGCCCACCTGGGACCTGACCATTAGGTACCGTGATTACCCACATAGGACCCGACCATGTAGTTATCGTGAATGCCCACCTGGGACCTGACCATTAGTTACCGTGATTACCCACATAGGCCCCGACCATTTAGTTATCATGAATGCCCACCTGGGACCTGACCATGTAGTTACCATGAATACCCACCTGGGACCTGACCATGTAGTTACCATGAATACCCACCTGGGACCCGACCATGTAGTTACCATGAATGCCCACCTGGGACCCGACCATGTTGTAGTTACCGTGAATGCCCACCTGGGATCCGACCATGTAGTTACTGTGAATACCCACCTGGGACCCGACCATGTAGTTACAGTGAATGCCCACCTGGGACCCGACCATGTTGTAGTTACCGTGAATGCCCACCTGGGACCCGCCCATTTAGTTACCGTGAATGCCCCCCTGGACCCGACCATGTAGTTACCGTGAATACCCCCCAGGGACCCGACCGTGAATGTCCATCTGGGCCCCGACCATGTATTTACCGTGAATATCCACCTTGGACCCGACCATGTAGTTACTGTGAATGCCCACCTGGGACCCGACCATTTAGTTACCGGGAATGCCCACCTGGGACCCGACCATGTTGTAGTTACCGTGAATGCCCACCTGGGATCCGACCATGTAGTTATCGTCAGTACCCACCTGGGACCCGACCATGTAGTTCCCGTGAATGCCCACCTGGACCCGACCATGTAGTTACCGTGAATGCCCCCCTGGACCCGACCATGTAGTTACCGTGAATACCCCCCAGGGACCCGACCGTGAATGTCCATCTGGGCCCCGACCATGTATTTACCGTGAATATCCACCTTGGACCCGACCATGTAGTTACTGTGAATCCCCACCTGGGACCCGACCATGTAGTTACTGTGAATCCCCACCTGGGACCCGACCATGTAGTTACAGTGAATGACCACCTGGGACCCGACCATGTAGTTACAGTGAATGACCACCTGGGACCCGACCATGTAGTTACTGTGAATCTGGGATCCGACCATGTAGTTATCGTCAGTACCCACCTGGGACCCGACCATGTAGTTACAGTGAATGACCACCTGGGACCCGACCATGTAGTTACAGTGAATGCCCACCTGGGACCCGACCATTTAGTTACCATGAATGCCCACCTGGGACCCGACCATGTTGTAGTTACCGTGAATGCCCACCTGGGATCCGACCATGTAGTTACTGTGAATACCCACCTGGGACCCGACCATGTAGTTCCCGTGAATGCCCACCTGGACCCGACCATGTAGTTACCGTGAATACCCACCAGGGACCCGACCGTGAATGTCCATCTGGGCCCCGACCATGTATTTACCGTGAATATCCACCTTGGACACAACCATGTAGTTACCGTGAATGCCCACCTGGACCCGACCATGTAGTTACCGTGAATCCCCACCTGGGACCCGACCATGTAGTTACAGTGAATGACCACCTGGGACCCGACCATGTAGTTACCATGAATGCCCACCTGGGACCCGACCATGTAGGTTACCGTGTAAACCCACCTGGGACCTGACCATGGAGTTACCGTGTATACCCACCTGGGACCCAACCATGTAGTTACCGTGAATCCCCCCCTGGGACCCGACCATGTAGTTACTGTGAATACCCACCTGGGACCCGACCATGTAGTTACCATGAATGCCCACCTGGGACCTGACCATGTAGTTACCGTGAATCCCCACCTGGGACCCGACCATGTAGTTACAGTGAATGACCACCTGGGACCCGACCATGTAGTTACAGTGAATGACCACCTGGGACCCGACCATGTAGTTACAGTGAATGACCACCTGGGACCCGACCATGTAGTTACGGTGAATGCTCATCTAAGACCCGATCATGTAGTTACCGTGAATGCCCACCTTGGACCCGATCATGTAGTTATCGTGAATGCTCACCTGGGACCCGACCATGTAGGTACCGTGAATGCCCACCTGGGACCCGACCATTTAGTTACTGTGAATGCCCACCTAGGACCCAACCATGTAGTTACCGTGAATACCCACCAGGGACCCGACCGTGAATGTCCATCTGGGCCCCGACCATGTATTTACCGTGAATATCCACCTTGGACACAACCATGTAGTTACCGTGAATGCCCACCTTGGACCCGACCATGTAGTTACTGTGAATGCCCACCTAGGACCCGACCATGTAGTTACCGTGAATGCCCACCTAGGACCCGACCATGTAGTTACCGTGAATGTCCACCTTGGACCCGACCATGTAGTCACCGTGAATACCCACCTGGGACCCGACCATGTAGTTACCATGAATGCCCACCTGGGACCTGACCATTAGGTACCGTGATTACCCACATAGGACCCGACCATGTAGTTATCGTGAATGCCCACCTGGGACCTGACCATTTAGTTACCGTGAATGCCCACCTGGGACCCGACCATGTAGTTACCGTGAATGCTCATCTAAGACCCGATCATGTAGTTACCGTGAATGCCCACCTTGGACCCGACCATTTAGTTACTGTGAATGCCCACCTAGGACCCAACCATGTAGTTACCGTGAATACCCACCTGGGACCCGACCATGTAGTTGCCGTGAATACCCACCTGGGACCAGACCATGTAGTTACTGTGAATGCCCACCTGGGGCCCGACCATGTAGTTACCGTGAGCACCGACCATGTAGTTATCGTCAATACCCACCTGGGACCCGACCATTTAGTTAGTGTGAATGCCCACCTAGGACCCGACCATGTAGTTAACGTGAATGCCCACCTGGGACCCGCCCATGTAGTTCCTGTGAATGCCCACCTGGGGCCCGACCATGTAGTTACCGTGAATGCCCACCTGGGACCCGACCATGTAGTTACCGTGAATGCTCACCTTGGACCCGACCATGTAGTTACCGTAAATGCCCACCTGGACCCGACCATGTAGTTACCGTGAATGCCCACCTTGGACCCGACCATGAAGTTACCGTGAATGCCCACCTGGGACCCGACCATGTAGTTACCGTGAATGCCCACCTGGGATCCGACCATGTAGTTACTGTGAATACCCACCTGGGACCCGACCATGTAGTTACTGTGAATCCCCACCTGGGATCCGACCATGTAGTTACCCTGAACACCGACCATGTAGTTATCGTCAATACCCACCTGGGACCCGACCATGTAGTTACCGTGAATGCCCACCTTGGACCCGACCATGTAGTTACCGTGAATGCCCACCTGGGACCCGACCATGTAGTTACCGTGAATGCCCACCTGGGACCCGACCATGTAGTTACCGTGCATGCTCACCTTGGACCCGACCATGTAGTTACCGTAAATGCCCACCTGGACCCGACCATGTAGTTACCGTGAATGCCCCCCTGGGATCCGACCATTTAGTTACCGTGAATGGCCACCTGGGACCCGACCATGTAGTTACTGTGAATGCCCACCTGGGACCCGACCATGTAGTTACCGTGAATCCCCACCTGGGATCCGACCATGTAGTTACTGTGAATGCCCACCTGGGACCCGACCATGTAGTTACTGTGAATCCCCACCTGGGATCCGACCATGTAGTTACCCTGAACACCGACCATGTAGTTATCGTCAGTACCCACCTGGGACCCGACCATGTAGTTACCGTGAATGCCCACCTTGGACCCGACCATGTAGTTACCGTGAATGCCCACCTGGGACCCGACCATGTAGTTACCGTGAATGCCCACCTGGGACCCGACCATGTAGTTACCGTGAATGCCCACCTGGGACCCGACCATGAAGTTACCGTGAATACCCACCTGGGACCCGACCATGTAGTTACCGTGAATGCTCACCTGCAGTGTTCCGTAAGGAACGTTTCTCCTTTTCCAGATTTCGCATAATGAACAATGGAGGTTTGAAATAACTAATAAAAAAATCAGCTCGCAATTGACCGTTTCATCAATGAAAGAGAACGATATACAAAGGTCATTCAAGGACACTGGGAGGGTTGCTAATCTTTGACGACCAAATTAGTGTTTAAAGTTATTTCTTGTCCAAAACTTTTGAAGTGTACACATTTGTCAACTTATCGATGCATTGTCTTGAAAAACAAATAAATGTAATAACAATTATGCAAACCACATAAATGATATAGTCAGGAAGAATGCATGGTATATATATTTACATACAACGTCTACTTGACCTCATTAGTTTTCTATGTGTCCAAAGAGTTTTCTATTTGGTGTCAACAGATAGGTTTACGTTCCCACGAGTAAAATGGTCTCGCTGTGAGCGGCATTGGCAGACGATTCTTTGTGCCCTTGCAACAGAAATAGGATACAGTTTTGAAAAGTGCATGTTTTATTTTTGAACTAGGACTGCAGGGTACTTGATCTTTGAAACAGACTGTTCATAATTCATAATAATGTATGCATTAAAATAACCTCAGATTTGACTGTTTACGACGTAACATTATTATGATATTGATGATGACGTAATGAATTTCGCCATTCTAAGTTGAGCGTTATTGTGAGGACGTTAATTAACATTAGTTATTACTATAATGGGGCTATGACTGGAAATTTAACCACCCATTCCACGAATTGCCAACCTGTTGAAGAATTATCTGCGCGTAGTGAGAATCAATACGATGACGTCACAAGAACGATCAAATATGACGTCACAATCGGTTTGAGACAGAATTGTTTCTTTGTACGCGTTTTGTTTGCCATACACTTAAGGAATGATTTTTTTTTTTCAACATTTATGAGGTCATAACAACAATGGGTTTATGGACATATTGAATGAATCGCGTTAGCGATTCATGTAAAATATGTCCAAAAACCCATTGTTGGTATGACCTCATAAATGTTGAAAAAATAAATATCATTCCTTATATTTACATTGACGAATCCTTTCAGTGGATCGATATAACAACTAATAAAACAAATAAACAGGGTTTGTTCCTGCTTATACACGGGTGCAACGCAGTGGCGAGAACAGTGTTTTTTCGCTGGGAAATGTGACACTATCGTAAGAGATCTTACCAACCGTCAACAACAAGAACACAACAAAATGTAGTTCCATATTCAATGTTTATTTGTAGCACAGGACACGTGAATACGTGGATATTTCACCAAGCACAGTTCAATAATATTTTAAGATGTAAGAATTAAGCATCTAGGTCGGTCGTTCCGAGTGAGTAGTTTTTGTAGTGTATTACTACGCAGTGTGATAAGGTTACTATCAGTTCCCACGTGCTGAGATTCTATGAACACCTGTGTTATGCATTTATGAATGTAATTTTTGTCAATGGGTCTAAGCATACAGAATGTAAATATATGGAAATGATAGAAATTTTGAAACAGTTGAAACAGGAGACAATTTTGGTGTGAATGGTGACGGAGAAAGGCCGACTATAAGAAACGATAAGTCGATAAGCAAAATGAAACCTAGTGGATAATAGAAATCCCTAAAATGTTCTGACATATAACTTTCAGGTAGTAGACGATATCGAAACATTTGAATTTTAAAAGGGTACTTTGTTACTTAGGACTAATACACGTCTGAACGACAACGAATATCAACAAAACAAGAGTATGGTTGTGACGTCATTGACGTGGCGTTTGCTCCTATCCAACAAATCGCTTAATAAGGTTCCGAGAATAACGCTTAAAATTCCTGGGGGNTTAGCATTTGATTTAGGTTTTAGACGTGCCCTGAGTAGATTGTATGGCGTGTGGAGCCTAACAGCTTTTCTCCAAGCGCACGTCACGTGACAAATACAAATTTAGCATTTTGTATCTTCTTTTTTCGTGTTTCTTTCATATTCATAAACATAATAAATCTGTACAGAAAATTCTGAATATATACAACACGCTTGCATCGATGACAAAAATCTGATATGGAATACAGGACAGTGCCGGTCGATAATGGAAATAGGTTCCTGGAGCCGTGCTGGTTTTACCCAGATCACCAGAAGCATGTCACAAAACAATACCGGAAATCAATAAGGAAGTACTGTTCATGAGGCTTGGATGTGTTGACTGTGGATCGGGGTTACTTCGTAGGATTTAATCAGTCCAAATAGCAGTAAATAACACCACTGTGTTACAGAACATAATGTTTGAATTTTTGTTTTGTTTTTTGTTTTGTAAAATTGCTGGGAATAATTTCAAGAAGTGCAGACCCCCCTGTAAATTTCAATCATGCTTAAAATATTTCAAGTATAAAGGGCCTACCGCCATTTAAAATGATTTCCGTAGACTTCCATATTAGGTTAGGCTCAGAGATTTATACCTGGAGCAAACTCCGCCGTGTATAAACATTGAATAAGCTTTGTTATAAAAAAAATCGTAGCAAACCAGAAAGAAATGTGGAAGAAATAGGAAGGAGAACAGCATATTTTTTCCCGCGACCAATCACGCATTATCGACTTTGTACTGCGGACGTGTCTTTTCTTTACTGTCAGGTCGCCTGCCGGCTTATTTCCTTGTATGCTATCTTTTAAACTACATCGGACGCTGACTACAATATATTCTAAGGAAATTAGATTAAAACTGCAGGTCCGTGAAAAATTGTCAATAGGCACATGACGCGGATAAAAAAATTCACGATAAGAAACAGGAAGAGGGAAGTATGTATATACAATATGACGTAATGGATAATGACCGAAGAAAATTGAATTAAAACAGGAAAATTTAATCATGCTTAAAATATTTCAAGGATAAAGGGTCATACCACCATTTAAAATGTTGATTTCAATACTACGAGAGATATGAACCTATTCAGTTAAGACTGGATCGTTTGGATACTGTTGGATACAACAGCCCCTACCCCCAACTCCATCCTCGATATCCAAGGGTTACGTTCACTTACGCTCTCCGCATCCCTGGAATATTTCATAGCAAAATTGATGGTTCAGTGTGCGCCATCTTGTGGATGAGACCAGAATACTAGTTTGATCCTTTGTTAACATCAAAAGAATCTCGCGGTCGCGTGACGGCAAAACTTACTAGCTTGAAGTCGGATGTCGGATGTATCAGCCTAGTGATTGATCATGTTATTTTTAACCCGAGACCGTTCGAATAGCTGGACACCACGTGTCTTCAATTTTGCTATGACATATCCCAGGGGAGCAGAGAGCGAAAGTTAGTGTAACCCCTGGATATCAAGGATGCCCTACTCCCATCCGCAATGAAACCGACCAATGTAATCGGTCAACCGCTGGTGACAAACAGGTTGCGGTTCTAATAGGAGTTTCCGCGTTCAAAGATACCGGGTTAAAAGATCCCGATTTTTTCTACACAATGTGCTCGGAACTAAATGTTGATTAAAAACCGTATAAAATACTACATGTGGGTGGATTCAAGTTTCATGCCACATAATCACGCTTTGTTGTTAAATATCGAACGTAAACTATTTTTACATAATGCCCTTGTAACTCACAGTAAAACTCACAGGCTGTGTTAAACACACTTTGCGTGTACCCTGTGTTAGTGTTGTGACACTATGTCAATGTGCTGACTGTAAATCTTCATCCGTGTAGTAACATAGTCATTGACACAGATCTGTTGAAACAAACTCACAGGGACCTGATAATTTGTTACATCTATATTTGGAACTAAACTATAAACCCCTAAAACGTGTTAAGTTACGCTGAACATCTTACATGTAGTTTAGGTAAACATCATTGAGGTGGCATTTTTACCGAAAGTCGATCTAAACCTCTAAAACGTGTAAAATTCCTTTGAACACCTTAGTTAAGGTCCAAATATAGCTGAAACTAATTATCATGTCCCTGTGCACAAACACAAAATGTCTGTACTCAGTCCCACAGGGACTTGATAATCAATTACATATGTAACAACCAACACAAACACCACTATGTCTGTGATCAGTCCCACAGGGACACAAACTAATTACGTATGTAACTTTGAGCTTCATCTGATATATTCATATGCATAAGGAGTATTAGTAGGTGTTTTAGGGGGTTACAATTTTAGATCATATACCACCTTTGACTGATTATCGGGTGCCTGTGATCAGTACAGGTCGCCTCACAACATTGATTACAATGTTTGCATAAGTATCGCCACATAAATAGAAATTATTGTTTTACAACATACTTACATGTTGATAGTGCTGGAATGTGATATGACAGACCGGAAAGACTGACCGTTAATTGCTCCGGCCATACATGTTGACCTTTACGCAAGCCGATCAGTAAAATGAACGGACTCTGATAAACGTAAGTGTCCGGACAACAGGGGCTAGACACGGACGTACGTCACTATAAAATGATTGCCAGCTGGTGGTTTCATAGTCCAGAGTAGTAGAAAGGTTAAATAAGCAACTGACAATCATGAATTATGGTGACGTGGGTCCGTGTCTAGCCCCTGTGGGCCGGACGGACAAATCTGTTTCTCTCACCGGAAAAAAACAAATCGCAGAAGTCGCTCCGGTCGGACGGACCGACATCCATTCACGACGACCGGACGGACGGACGGACTTTTATGCACACCAGACTCTATAGACAGGCAAATTGACCGTTGCTCACTTCAGATAGACGAAAATGGACCGTTATATAATGTTATGCACACTATTCAGACTGTGTGAGCATAAGGAAAACCCATAGAGAACAAAGAGTATGTAAAAAATGTCTTATCCTAGAAGTTGAAGCACACGTCTTCTTCAGGTTTTATCTACTGACAATATTCAACTAATGCTTGACTCTTTGCTTATTAATAAAAAAAAAGTCACTTCAACTGAGAAAAACAGTCTGTGTAAGTCATATGCTGTTAAAATTTTTAAAGTTCCTTATTATGTTGTTTTGTTAAAAAGAAAG